TGCTGCTGCTGCTGCGGCTGCTGCTGCTGCATGTCCTGCTGCTGCAGCACCTGCTGCTGCTGTTACTGCTATTGGTGCACTTCCTGCTGCTGCTGCAGTTGATGCTGCTCAAACTGCAGTCGGTGCTGCTGCTGAAAGTGCACTTGGTGCGGCTGCTGCTGCTGCAGCACTACTGCTGCACTTGCTGCTGCCACAGCTACACGTGCTGCTGCTGCACATGATGCTGCTGCTGCTGGCCTTACTGCTGCTGCCGCTGCTGCAGCTTTGTGGCACTCCTCACTGGGATAAAACAACCTCAGAGGAAGGTCTGCACACTGTGTGACCGCCTTTATTAGGGTTTAGGGTTTAGGGTTTAGGGTTTAGGAATTAGGCTCAGGTCTCCAGACGTTTCACTAGGTAGTGTGTGGAAGCTGCTGCAGCTTCTGCAGACAGTCTTTGCTTTGCTGCTGCGGCTGCACGTCCGGGCCTCACCGTGGCTGCCGGTAGTTGTGCAGCAGTAGCAGCTGCAGCAGCTGCTGCTGCTGCTTCTGCTGGTCCTGCTGCAGAGGACAGCATGATCCTGTGGGGCGATAGAAGCGCTTTTTTTTGCTGCAGGCGTTTTAAAGGCATCCATAGAGGCCTACGGCTCCGAAAGCAGCAGCAGCAGCAGCAGCAGCAGTAGCAGCGCGTGCGCAGACCCGCAGCCGGGAGCAGCAATAGCAGACGATGCTGCTGAGGCTCGAGATGAAACGGGCCTGCCAGCTGCAGCAGCTGCTGCCGCAGCAACAACTGCAGCAGCAGCTAGGATGCTGGGCATGGCGGAGGCTACAATGAGCAGTGAAAGCGCTGCTGCAGCTTATGCTGCATCAGGAGCAGCAGCAGCAGCAGCAGCAGCAGCAGCTGGCGAGGCCAGCGGGAGCTGCTACGGGAAAATGATGCTGCACGGGCTGGAGCTGAACACAGCAGCAGCAGCAGTGACTGCAGCAACAGCGGCCAATGCAGCCGCAGCAGCAGTAGCGACTGTGCGAGCAGCAGAATCAGCAGTAGGTGCTGCAGCAGCAGCAAAAGAGTACTTTGGCTGCCTCGACAGCTTCCACGAGCTGCCGATTCCTTTGGCTTTGCCAGACCGCATTTGTAATTTCATAGTGACGGGAGACGGCGCTGCTGCTGCAGAGCAGCAGCAGCAGCAGCAGCAGGTTGCTGCTGACGCTGCTGCTGCTGCGGACCTCGCCGCAGCAGAAGCTGCTGCAGTTTCAGCAGGAGCTCCGGGGCGCAGCGTGAGTGCTGTGCTGGAGCGGGTGGACTCAGCAGCAGCAGCAGCTGCAGCTGCCGCTGTCTCTCCGCAAGGCGTGTCTCCTGCTGCAGCAGCTCGGGCTTCCGCTGTGGCGGAGGCAGCAGCAGCAGCAGCAGCAGAGGCTGCTGTTGCAGCAGGAGGGTCCGACGCCATTGCTGCAGCTGCCGCCTCTATTGAGACGCGAGCTGCTGCTGTTGCTGCAGCAGCGGCTAACGCGGCTCAGCAGCTGGTCAGCGCCAGACACCCGCCGGGT